AAGCAGGGGATGCTTTAGGGCGGGGCTACACAGTGATTGACAGCTCTGAACCAGAGACGTATACGGTGTCTCTACGTCACTCCTCCTCAGTCCAGATATGGTCACTTCAAAACAACTACGTCCACTTCTTATATACAGTCTAAGGTTGGTGTGCATAGAGTTAGCTAACTTGGTAACATGTTGCATCGTAGCATGGCTACATCTGGCTTGCAGTGGTGCAGTTAGCATGCTGACAGGGTTTCCGTTGGGTGCTAAATACACAGTCAACAGGTGTGTCATAAAAAAGACCGCGTCATGCTTTGAAGCAGACAACTACACACTATGAGAGATGACATGCAATGAAAGAGAAAGGGACACGAGGACATTATCTGCAGGAACACAGTGGTCCCTTTTGCTCATTATCTCATGAACCCACAAACTACGAGCAGGCCTAGTCAATCAATACACACACACCAACACACACACACCCACACACACACCAAAACACATCCACAGAAGACCAGCAACCGCATTTCTGGCAAGAAAATGTGAAAGCTAAAGGAGCGCTCGCTTTCTCTCCATCTATCTATCGGTTCGTTCTTTCTTTTGCCTCCTCGTGGCTTTGTCTAGTTATCAGCAATTTTACTCACTGCGGATCGAATGCTCCAAATTGATTGGTGGAAAGGGCAAGGAGAAGGACAAAAGCTTCTTTCTTTTTACTTCACACAACTGCACTCAAACACACACACACACACACACACACACACACACACACTGATGCCAGTACAAAGTACTAAAGTGCTCCTGGTTTACTGCAATGTTTAGAGGATTGCTGAGGAACAGTGAGCAGGGGGAATATCTGGTATTTGTTGCCGTGTGTCCACATCCCTGCTGTCTGCTCCATTCAACACAGCAGTCAAACAAAACAGAACACGTTTTGTCATCAATTATGGACGTTGCAGATGCTGCCTTTAATAAAAGGTGTGATGACTCCTGCCACCTTGGAGAACGGTCTGGGACACTATCACGTAATACTGTAAAAGTTACACCAGCAATTACTTGTGATAAAATTAGCAGCTGGACATGCTGCCGGTATTTAAACAAGCCCTCAGAGACTTGTTAACACTTGAACATTGGCACAAAAAAAGCAGTTGGATGCATGTATTCTTTAATGCCTTTACGATATATTAGTGTCGTCAGCATCACGCTGTTAATGTGCATCAATGTCTGTCTCTGACACCCTTTGAGTCCTTCTCTGTCTGGCTTTACTCTATGAAGAAGAGCGCACGCGCACACACACACACACACACACACACACACACACACACACACACACACACACACACACAC